AGAGCATTGGAATAATAACACTAATTGTCTTTAATGTAACATACAAGTGTGATAGAATTGTACAAGAGTGCCAAAAACTAAAAAAATGTTTGTGTTATTGTCATTTCCAGGTACTTGCCCAGTCCATGTGATTAGAGTGTTTAGCTACTGCTATCCAAATCTGGCAATAACTGACATTGTTGTCTCAATTAGGACAGTAAACAGATTGTCCAATTTTGAAAAAAAAAAACATTTTAAAAGGTTCATACAATGTAACATTTCACTGTTGCGCATGTTTATTCATCCAAGCAAATTACAAAATAATGCTGAGACATCTGTTAGAGAGACAATGGTACCTAACATTTGCCTGTCTCCCCACAAATTTGGCTGTTATACTAAAAGAGGAGGGGTTGCTATCAGTTAAGTGCATTGATATGCCATATAAAATCTCCTTCTTGAAACATTTATATACTATACAAAACATTTATATACTATACAAACATGAATGTTCTGAGGTAACCAACCAGCATAAAAAGATATGTATTCTATATTTCTGGTATTTTCCTGCTTTGTGCCAAATTAATTTGCTTTTACCTGAGATGTCATGTGGACACACCAGGTGAAAACTTGGGAGCTTGTGAGCTGTCTGGGTGTGCCCCCAGCACACTCCTGAGCAAGTACATTTCTGTTCCACAATCTCCATTCAATTATTTACATCTTAGTTGGGAGCAAGTCTGCTTCCCACCCACCCAAGCCAAAGTGGCCACTAAACTGGTTTGAGATATATATACACGCACACACCGAAAGCTCCAGTCGTTGAATGACTCCACTCTCCTCATTAAACCACAGATCCAGCATAAACATGCTGGTGCAGCTTTTTGCTCTTTTGTCATTATACTAGATCTCACCAATACCCTTAGTGTGGTTGGAGGCATGCCAACAGTTAAGTTGTATGAATTAAGACCTCAAATTAGTCAATATTCTGTTGAAAAGAGGGAAAATATCCATACAACCATTCTTAGTTTATTTATTTGCCAGTTTCATTTCCAAAAGTAAAAAACAGGATTAACCACCAAATTATTATAGAGGTTGTCCCAAAACCAACTATGTTTGCAGTCTCAATGAAACACCTAAGTATAATTTCCTAAACTGTAAAATTGTTCCATTACCATACCAAGTGAAATAAAAATTAGGTCCCACTGGTTTCTATAGGTTTACTTCCAGGCAGGTCTGTTTAAGACTGCAGCTTGAGGAATGTTTTATTTTATTTTTTAAGATGCAACACTTTTTAAAATGTGAATTGGTCCATTAACTGAACTGAGTATTATGATCAAATGATCATTTTTTAAAAGATTGCACCATTTCAATTAAGCAAAATTAAGAACCTCATCATACAAGGCACCTAAATCGCTACTACTACAGGACAACAGCAAGACTTATCACATAATATCATTCTGCTTTTGGTGTTCTCCCAGTGAGAGATAACTGAAAAGTATTTATTTTACAAAAGGAGATCATTAATGAACTGGGTTGTTTAAAAAATGCTTTCCAAATAGTCTCTCATTAGAAGAACACCAGAAGAACAACACTATTATTCTGATGTAATTGTGATTTACTTGCTTGGTGCGATAACTTCCTAAATATTATGATGGATCCAACAGCTAGCATCGGCTGGTGCTACAGTAGAATCTGGTGAGCTGGGAAGAGACAATTTCCCCCTCCACAACAGTCTCCCCATATTTACCAAAAACTGACCCCAGGAACTGTTTTTGGGAAACCCTCCAGAACCAGTTTTCAGATGGAATAGCAAGCTTTAGATAAGAAGGGAAGGGAGTGGAAGAATATTCTCTGCTGCAGCCAGCAACACAATGTTGGCTTATCTCAGTACCTACTAAACTTCCAAATCCTGATCAAGACTTGGACTCATTCTGGAACCCCAACTGAATGAATAATTTCAGAAGCAGCAAAGATTGCAGGATTCAATACATCATAACCAGAACTTGGAAACAGTACTATTTTGAACTATCACAACAACTTTTTTCAAATGACTTTTTTCAAGCAATCCTTCCCGAAGGGGAGCAGAGTGTAATGGTTTGAGCATTGGACTATGATTCTGGCACCTAGGGTTCGAGTTTCTAAGGGTAAGTGCCCTCTGATCAAATCTTGCCAAGAAAAATTCATATTAAATGGTTACCCTAAGTCAGAAATGAAGGTGCACAATGACAATAACAACAACAATCTTTCAAGGAATCAGGTATGTATAGGAAATGAATCACAAAGGAAAAAATGTCAGACATAATTCTATACTCATATGACATTGTTGTTTATACTATTTAATTCTGTTTGGAATTGAGGTCATTTGAGGTATGAACCTCTTTGAACAATGGGTTTGGAGTCACCTTTTCTGAGTCATTGTAATGAAGTCACAGTGGTTTTAATTTACTGGGACTATGCATGGGAGAGGTTTTCCATCCACCATTAGAACAAATGAAAAAGACTACAGTATGTAGTAGCAAAATTTAAAAAAAAACAAAACACTCCTGTATCCTTCCATGAGATTGGAGGCAGCAGCAATGGTTTAATCAAAACAGAATTTCAACCTCATATTAATGAAGCATTCAACTAATTAAAATCAACACAGAGTGAACTTTCTATTTACACTCTTTCAGATAGCCCAAGAGGCAACGAACTCTGCTTCAGAGGCATATGTGAATGCTTCAGCTTCTGTCATCCAGGTGCCATTTCTGACAGAGCACATGTGCCTTGAACAGTTGGCAATGAATGAAAAAGCTGACTGCTGATACACACATACACACACGGCAGAGTAACGCTGAAAATAAACTTGCACCCTTAAAAAAAACCCACAGAAAGCTCTTTCTGAGCAGGAAAGCTTGCCATGATTACAAAGTACTGATTACTGTGTGGAAATTACAAATTAATAAAGCATGTTTATTTTTCTACTGATACTTCTTGATAAGTTGGAGGCTTTGATTCATCTATGCTGATCACAGTTGACTCCAGAGAGTCTTTATCAAGCAAACGCTCTTCATATTCTATTCAAACGCCCATCCAAAATTACAGAACTTGCACTGATGGGAGGTGCACTTTCTCTTGTCTTCTAGGGGCAGAGAAAACTGGCATCTCTTCTCTTTTAGTTAGTCCTGGCCTTTAAAATAGTTGGATTAAACCTCCCTTTTTTATTTGTGATCCCACAATGGCTGTCCTTAAGCAATTTAATATACCATTGGATAAGAATTCCAAGTATACCACATGTTTTCTGTTATCAGAACCTATTTTTGTTCATGTTTTTATAGTTTTCCCATTAAAACCCCAGCTTTGTCTCCTTAGGGAGACTCAAGATAGTTGATTCAAGGTGGTCTGCTGTAGAAGAAGCAACAACAAAAAAACTGCATAAAGATTTATTGTCAAAGTCTTTCATGGCTGGAATCACTGGATTATTGTAGGTTTTTCAGGCTGTATGGCCATCTTCTAGAAGCATTCCCTCCTGACGTTTCGCCTGCATCTATGGCAGGCATCCTTAGAGGTTGTGAGGTCTTTTGGAAACTAGGAAATTTGGGTTTCTATATCTGTGAAATGTCCAGGCTGGGAGAAAGAACTCTTGTCTGTTGGAGCTATGTGTGAATGTTTCAATTGGCCACCTTAATTAGCATTTGATGGCCTAGCAGTTTTTAGGAAGATTCCCCCAGGCACTAACAAGCCACACGTAAAAACTGCCGGCCATCAAATGCTAATCAAGGTGGCCAATTAGAACATTAACATCTAGCTCCAACAGACAAGAGTTCTTTCTCACACCCTGGACATTCCACAGATATATACAGTGTTCCCTCACTTATCGCGGGGGTTATGTTCCTGAACCACCTGTGATAATTAAAAATCCGCAATGTAGGGAAGCCCAGGACCTACACCAGGCCTCAGCTTCCCTACAACAGCACCCAAGGGGCCTCTGAGGAAAAGGAGGAGGAAGAGGTGGAGGAGGGAGTTGCTGCTGCTGCGCTGTTGCCGCCTGCTGCAAGTGCTCGGGGGCACTCTTCTTTTCCTTCGCTCTTCTTCTAACCTGGCATGGGCTCACCCTCTTCCTCCACCGCCACCTCCTCCTCCTTCTCTTAGCCCAAAGGGAGCAAGGCCCCGCCACCTCCCGGGGCTCTGTCCTTCCCCCAGCCCCACCACTTTCAGCCCTGCCCCCCACCTCCCCCCTCCCTCTTCCGCCTCCTCTTCCTCCCCCCCCCCCGTTGGGGTGAGAGTAAAACCCCAAAACGCGAATAGGCGAACCACGATCTGGCGGGGGAACATTGTAAACTCAAATTTCCTAGTTTCCAACAGACCTCACAACCTCTGAGGATGCCTGCCATAGATGCAGGCAAAACGTCAGGAGAGAATGCTTCTAGAACATGGCCATACAGCTCGAAAAACCTACAACAACCCTGCATAAAGATTGCTTGCTAAGCTGCCCTCTGCAGTTGCAAAGCTACAACACATTTTGGCTGAAATCTTATGAGTAATCATTTGGAAGTAAGTCCCATTGAAGGCAACAGATACAGTCAGTATTGCATTTCAGGGACACCTTTAAGCTCTGGGTCTTGACACAGCATTGTTGATACTGATAACTGTATCCCAGCTGGAGTTGACCATTTTGAAATTTCACCATTTTGATTGGGATTTAGATGTGCTCCACTGTCCCATTGAAATTAATGGTCCAAAAATGTGTTTCTTGGCATCCTGCCTAGTAATGGAAGAAGGAATTCCTTTTGGCATTGGTATGACTAAGACTTTGCATAGTGTAGTGACTTCTCGGTTCACTAGCTTGCATCCAGGTCGTGTCTTGCAAAGTAAACAGCAGTGTTCAGTTCTTGTTCTAACTGGGCATGTTGAAAGCAAAGTTAAGTATATTTAAAGTTCTACTGATCTTAAGCCATAAATATAAGACTGAATCTTTCTTGCTGTAATTCATTCAATTTAGCAGTTCTAATAACAGAACAATGCCCAGAGAGAGCATAATGTAATTTAATTCTAGTTCATCGTATTTGATCTTGGCTTCTATTTGTTGTCATCCTTTCAAAAAAAGCAAAATGGTCCTGCAAGCTTCAAGGACATCAGGAATTATAGACTAACATCCAACACTAATTCAGGTAAGAAACTGTTCACTTGGATCAAATATTTTCAGCTTCTCAAATTAAGAAAATAGTCAATATCAGTCAGTAAACCAGTCTGAAACTCAGATGAAACTCATAAAAATCCACAAGGCTGAGGTATTCTCCTATGTATTCTTAGCTTCTGAATGGAAGGAAGTAGTTTATGTTCTATCCATCTCTGTGGATAGATTGCTTGTTTGTGATCTTGATGATCAAGGTTATCTTTTTTTTAAAGAAGCAAATTTGTAGAGTCTTCTAGTTTTCATCTTGCTCCAGATCAAGGTCAACTTCTTCAGATAGCTTAAGGTAAAAGAAAGCATAACACGCCAATAGAAAGACCAATATAGCTGCAAGGACGAGGCTGACTTCCTGTAGCAATGACAAAATTGTTAAAAAGTTAAGATATATAATCATTTCAAGTTAATTAAAAGCAAGGAACATTTAAATTCATACATTCAGGCAACTACAGTAACAACGGAGCTCATACTCTGCTGGCTATGACCCAAAACCAAAAAAGCCAAAAAGGCAGGGAAAACCAGCATGGTAAGAGTAAACCTGACTATGCTTCTTCTGCCATAATATTGCCACAAATTCAGTACACAGGAAGGGAAATATTCAAGATTTTCCATACTTTTGCTCAGTTATTAATCAGAATGAAGACTGCAAAGCATTAGAAGAGAACTAGAACTAGAAGGGCAAGTGGTCTGCAGCTATGAAGGAGGTATAAAGGTACTGACAGTTCCTGAGTTACAAATATTTGACTTACATCTAACTCATAGTTAAGAACTGGGGTGAGACAACAGGAAGTGAGAGAAATCTACACCTCAAAAGGGAAATTCTCTCCTGAAGGAATTCTCATGGGGAAAGGGGATCTCCACTGAAGCTCTATCTTCAATTCTTGTTTTCACAACAAGCCTTTTTTTTCAAAATCCAGTTATCATAGGGACAGAAAGTGAGGTGAAATCTTCTGAACAGGGGCACAGACAGCAAAACAAATAACGCAGGGGTGTTAACCATTCCCTATCTATCCAAAGCTTATATATATACATGTTTAGCTGGAGTTACACGTTAAAAATGTATCTATTTTGACTTACATACAGGACCTAACTTGTTTGTAACTTGGAGACTGCCTGTATACTAAATTTAAGGTTGTCCCTATTATAGTATTTCACATTTCCGTGTAGGGCTGTGAAAGCTGGGCAATGAAGAAAGCTGATAGGAAAAAAATCAATTGTCATTATTAAAGTAACCCGGTAAAGTAATAGGGGTTTAACCCAGTGGCACAGTGGGTTAAACACCTGTGCCAGCAGGACTGAAGACCGACAGGTCGCAGGTTCGAATCTGGGGAGAGGCGGATGAGCTCCCTCTATCAACTCCAACTCCTCATGCGGGGACATGAGAGAAGCCTCCCAGAAGGATGATAAAAACATCAAAATCATCCGGGCATCCCCTGGGCAACGTCCTTGCAGACGGCGAATTCTCTCACACCAGAAACGACTTGCAGTTTCTCAAGTCACTCCTGACACAACAAAAAAATTAAAGTAAATCAACCCTGCTCTCTCTTTAGAAGCTAAGATGACTAAATAAAGATCGTTGTACTTTGGACATATCATGAAAACAATTGCTGGTTAGAAAATACAGTATTTGGCAAAGTGAAAGGCAATAAGGAAAAAAGGGAAGAATGCATTAAAGGTGGCTGGATTCAAAAAGTAAACACTGCCCTAAACTTGTACTACATCAGCAGGGTGGTTGAGGAAAAGGTGACTTGGAAATTTCTCATTCTTAGGGTTGCCGTAAGTCAAAGTTGACTTGAACGGTAGTTAACAAAGATAGTCCTAAGCAATTCCCAAACATCCCTCATCTATGAAGAATATGGACTCAGAATAGATTCAGCTCACCTAGTCTCAGCTCAGTGGGCCTTTGGACATATTGGACAACTAACATTTACACTCTAAACAAGTTCTTTGTGAGAAGCCATTATGTTGCAGAACAAGCAAGCATGTTTTCAGCTCATTCTCAAATACGTGTATTTATACATTGTGTGACATGAATCAATTTCAATTGTTCAAAATGGATTTAGATATTTTCACAGGAACGTACAACCTCTCTGCTCAAACAATTATGCAAGACTCGGGACAAAGAGGGAACATGAAACAGTATCATTACAAGACCATGAAAGAGTTAAAATCCATCTGTCAACTCCATTTTTTATTTCATCTCTGAGATCTGGCAGGCTCCTTTGGAAGACACTTCATTTGCATTTACATGAATCTGTTTTATATTTTATCAGTATTTTAGATCCATAATTCAGTATATGCCACCTCATACACTTTTATAAGTCCTCAGAGTAAAGATCTCTCAGTGGATTGTCATGCTGTAGGTAGTTTCAATTTCCTTTCACATGGAAATAATTTGGCTCATAATAGTTTAAAACAATTGTTGATACATAATCAACCGTCCCCCCGCCTCCGTCCCTACAAATTCTGCACCCATAGACAGAGGCGGCCCTAGGTAATTTTCAACGGTAAGCAAACAGTATTTTGGCGCTCCCCCTCCACCAATCACTGATATATATTTTCTGTTCATCGTGGGAGTTCTGTGTGCCATATTTGGTTCAATTCCATCATTGGTGGAGTTCAGAATGCTCTTTTATTGTAGGTGAACTATACATCCCAGTAACTACAACTCACATATGTCAAGGTCTATTTTCCCCCAAGAGCGCCTCAAGAGCACCCCTGGGCAAAATCAACTATACTGCAAATGCTTACTTTGCTTAATGAGTTGAGCCGCCCCTGCCCATAGATTCCACCATCCATGGCTTGGAAATCATATTTTTTAATTCCAAAGAAACCAGATCTTGATCTTGCCATTTTACATGAGATAAACCATTTCACTATGGTGTTATATATAATGGGAATTGGTCTATGGATTTTTGTATCCATGGGAGGGTGTGTGTGTCCTGGAACAAAAATACTGCAGATACAGAATTCCCACTGCACTTTCAATTTTAATCTCAACTTGTGCAATGGCTATATTATTCTCATAATCAAAGTATCAAGGGCTATATATGAAAAGGCAGCAGCAGTCTACAATGAGATTTGTTTCATTTTCTTGAATCTGCTACAGCTGTGTTCCCAGATGCATTTGGACACAAGGAACACAAAATTGCAAGCACCATCTGCTTTGGAGTAGACAACTTAACCTTCCAGCAGGGATGGAGAAGATGTAGCTTTCCAGATGTTTGCAGGGCTGCAAATCTTTTTTATCCCCCACTGATGAAAAGGACGACATGATAGCCATGTTTAAATATTTGAATATGAAATCATGTCATATTGAAGATGGAGCCAACTTCTTTTCTGCTGCTTCAGAGACTTGGACACAGAGAACTGTATTCAAATTGTAGAAGGGATTCCACATAAACACTAGGAAGAACTTCCTGACGGTAAGAGTTGTTGGACAATGGAATGCACTGCCTCAAACGGTAGTGGAGTCTCAATCTTTGGAGGTTTTCAAACAGAGGCTGGATGGCGATCTGTCAGGCATTTTTGATTATGCATTCCTGCAAGTCAGAGAGTAGCACTGGATGGGCATGATGGTCTCTTCCAACTCTGATTCTACGACAGTATGCTGGATAGGACCAATGAGATTTATAGCCCAACAATATTCGGAGGCTGCACGTTCCCCAACTGTATCATACAGCATAGTGTTCACAATGACAAAGTAAGGGAGCACATCCCTCAAAAAGGGTTGATGACTCCATTGGCTTCATTTTTTTTAACATGTTCATTTTCTCAAAATATCTGAGAGCATCCATCCGACAAAATGAAAAAGCATGAATTTTGGAAAATTCTCATCAAGAAATGAACCAAGTAAAATTCTTACTATCTGCAATGGTCAGATTCATTAGACACAGATATTCCTAGAACCTAGGACTTTGTTGCATCTGCCTGACATGTCGCTGTTAAATATGAGAAACATAACAGAAAACTAAAATTAGTGCAACTCTAATTCAGTCCCATAAATGTGACATCAAAATTCAGACATTTAAGAGCGAAAGTTCACAGCCTGAATGGACAAATCTGTTTTCCTTTTCCCAAAATCATTTCTAAAACATATGTTCCTTCCATTAAACTCATGGAAAACAAATTAGAATTCTAATGTGAAAATGAACCAAACAACATTTTAGTCCATTCAGCGTTCTCACATTGTTTGTCCATACAAGTTAAAAAAAGAGTAAATGTAGCAAAGCAAGTTTTGTTAAAACTTAAGAGAAATCCAAAGATATAGTTGAATTATGACTAGGAAATTATTCAATATTCAAAGAAAGGCTGTTGTGACAAAACTCCGTGAAACGAACACTATTCATTTCTGAATTTATACGAAGAGCAGAGAGTGAGGAAGAAGTGGTTGACTGTCTTAGTTACAACGCTCCCATTAATTTTTCTTGGCCAATAGAAAATGGAATCAAAGAAACCTACGCTAGCATTTTTAACAGAAAAGCTATTAACGCATGGAGAGCTTTTAATATACACAGAAAAGCACATAAATCCAGCCATCGAGCACAATCAACGTGCTTCAATAACACAGAGTTAAGAAATGTTGGGTATTTATTGCTCACAAGTTACTGTGTTGACATTATCAACACAGATAAAAATCACTCATTGGGGAAATTAACAAAGTATTAAATGGCAATGACTAAATGAAACTTTGCTACTTTCAATCCGGAATAAAAATGACAGGCAATCAAAATTTGACAGGAATGACTAATTAGTATGCCAGTTATGAAATCAAAAAGTACCGCACTGGGATTGGTTAAGAAAAGTTTGGTGCCTGTTTTGAGGGACTCGGTTGAACTGTGCGTTTCTTAGGAGACTAAAGTTTGCTAACTTTGGGCAAACTATGTCACAAGTGGGAGTCAGTAATAATCAAGCGATGAAATCAGTGTTTGTGAAACATCATGAAATCACAATGTTCTTCACAATTTAATGGATTTTCAGTGCACTTAAAACTGGTGGTGGAGCTCATTTGTTAATTTTCTCACTATGATCATTTCCACAGAACTTGTAATATGCAAAGAACTGCCCTAAAACACAGAATGGCTGGAAATCCACTTCCAATTCCATCCGTTTTGAGTTAAAGAGTAACAGAACATAATGTATCTGTTTATTTTATTTGTATGTATTTGTGCGGCATCAAATTGTTGCCTACTCTAAGATTGCTCTGAGTCCCCTTCGGGATGAGAAGGGCGGAATATAAATGTGGTAAGTAAATAACTTTCTGTAGGATTTCAGTTGTGAAATTCTTCCCTTCCTTACTGAAAATGAAATAATGGGACTTCTTCTGGAGCAATAAAGTGGGCATTATGAAGC